TCGACAGTCCCTTTAAGCATATATGGTAGTCTCTCTTTGTAAATGAATATATGTAGACTATGTTACAGCTAAGTTGTTTGTTTAGATAAACTTGAATATAGTATAATATTATACAGGGTTTCCCACGAAACATGACAGTAGCAAGACGATTGAGTGTCGTCTTGATTTTTGATATAATTTGCTGCATTTATTTGTTAACCTAATATTAAAAGTAAAATTCTAGAGATAATAATTACAAAACAAAACAATATTGAAAGCACAAAAAACGCCGAAAATTTTTTTAGAAATGCCAGGGATAGGAGAATTATGTGGTAATTGATCCATGAATCATACATGTTAAAGAAGATTGACGACTAAATATTACAAATAAATTCAAATATCAAAGACGACTTTCAAGTCGTCTTGCTATTGTCATGTTTCGTGGGACACCCTGTATATAAAGTGGCTGATGCCATGTTTAAACAGTTTAATATTTCATAGTATAGAACTATGCTATTGTATAAAGGGGAAACTAACTGCAGACTTCTCAACAAGAGGGAGGAGTATGCAGTGCGAGCCACCTAAATCAGGTATCCGAGCCACATTAACTTTATCTTCTCAACGAGTGGGGGATGCACTGTGAGCCGCATTAATCAGGTATCCGATCCACATTAGCTTTATCTTCCCAACGGAGGGAGTAGTAGGCAGTGCGAGCCACCTTCATCAGCTGTATCCGATCCGCATTAACTTCATTTTTTCAACGAGGGGGAGGAGAATGCATTGTGAGCCACATTAATCAGGTATCCGATCCACAACAAACTGACCAACACCAAATACATTCTATACACAATGTACTTCTTGTACATTTTCAACTCATACCATATACCTTAAGCGAAACTTATGTGTTTGTTTTTGATTTTATTCATTAGTTCTTTCTCCTTGCGATACCGGCTTAAGCCAAGAAATCCTGGGATTAGAAGAATATTTTAGACTAAAGTTGCGATCTCAGAGTATTTAGAGCAAGGTTGTTTATTGTGGTTAGATACACCGATGAGCTCCAATGAACGGAAAATATCGTCTCCATGTCGGGAGAGAGAAGGAGCTTCGCTTGTCAGCTGTAAAAACCTTGGTTTAGAGAAACTTCCCAAGCCAAATAATGCAAAGAATTTTTTTATGTTGATGAACGTTTTAAGATTCGAAATGATTTAATAGGACCTCACTTTTTTTGCTTTTTTTTAGCTCACGAGGTAAAAAATATAATTTTCTGGAATTTAGGAAGGTGACTTGAGAAAGTACAAGATAAGGATTCAGCAATAACCAGAAATAGGAAGTCGACTTTCAGACTCAAGTTTTAACTTTAGATAGTCCAATAAACATGATAAACAGCAAATGTGCAGTGTAAACAGACCCATTTCACTTAGCAAGTGATATAATAACTTATCTTATTATGTAANAAAGCTTTATAATCTTTATAATAATTTGGCTCGGACGTATGTTTCAAGCGGCAAGTACTCCCCCCTCTCTAGAAAGGCTGAAGTACTGAAAGGACTCTAATTTTAATCTATCAAAGTGACACATTCTAGAATCAAGGGTTATTACTGCTATGTTGTTATTATTTAGTTAGGGGATTAACAATTAGGACTAAATCTGAATCTACATAAAAACAAGGGTTTTAGAGTAAAGGCATTGGGTTGCAACTTGAAATTTATATACACAGCCCAATTTTTCATTGACAGCTCATTAAAAGAATCAGATCGCTAAGTTTAATCGTTTGGATCCCAGGGTGGTTTTTAAAAAAGCGGAAAGGATCTGGAAAATGTTAAGCAGACAAATTTCCGTTTAAATACCAACATGTGAAACCTGTTTTATTATAATTTTTCTAGAGCTTTTCAAAATGTTAATACTAAATTCTAGATATGTAGCCTAAACTGCAAAAAAGGTTATGGGCTATTTAAAAAAAATAATACCGTCTTGTGTCCTCCCTTATGCAAAAATTCTTTAAATTACTATTTCTAAAAGTAGAAAAATGTTAAAGTGATAGTTTCAATGATGAGATTGTTAATTCTTAAAAAAGTTAGTTTAGGATTTACAGCAAAATGTAAAGATTTTTTTACTTGCAACTAAAAAAAAATTTTGCATGATGGTTTTCATGTTTTTAAAGAATAATATTTTGGTTTGAAAACAATAATTTAACTGTAAAACATTGCTGCTCAGACCTCTGCAAGTAATGGTTTCAGTTTTTCCTGAAATTGTTCATTATTTTGCTTCAAGAAATACAATTTTATTTATTCTGCTAAGATACTGCAGAGAACGTCTAACAATATTTTTGAAGAGTCGGTTTAACAGTTTAGAAAGCAACAACAACTTTATTTTCAATTATTTTCTGTAAATCATAAATTTCTATTTTACTAAAATAGAAATATAAATTTGCTAAGGATATTTAAAGAATTTGAAAAAAGTATAACGACAGAATTTTTTTTGAGAATTCATTTTGAGATTTATTTATATGCAATACTGAAACCCGTTTTTGAAGGCGTATTAAAATCGTAGGCTGGTTTCTCGATTGTTAAAAAGGTATAAGGTATTTGATCTTTGGTCTTAAACTTTGCCTTACGTCAATTTTATATACTAGAAATTCAAGGCGCTTCGCGCCCTTCTTTCTAGTCTTTTATGGCGCTTCGCGCCCATCTTCTATTTAAAATGTGAATATGTTCTTTTTGTTTACATTTAAAAACAAAGAAGAAAATTTTTTTGAAGACGCAACAGATAGAAGTAAGATTAGTAGTGATCAAAAGCGCTTTTTTATCGCATTAAGCCTATACCCCCTTTCATTTTTCGCGAACACTCCCTTTGATAGAACAACGCTTTTAAGAGTACCTTTGTGAATCTTTTCTGTTGTTCTCTATTCTGTCCCCGTACTAGATAAGCGTCTATATTTTGTGTAGATTAAGATGAAGAAATTGCAAAGAAATTGAAGGAATTGGCTCCACCTACTCTACTGAATTTTTAATGCCACTGATACTGCAGATATGAACACAAACTATCAAGTTCAAATCTCAGGGAAGACAAAAACAAGGAAAAATAGATGAAAAAATTTTACAAAGTTTTTATCTCAATATTTTATTCTAATTACAACAATTTGGAATGGTTAAAATCCATTTTGTCGATAATGAAAGTTTTAAGTTTATGTTTTAAGTTAAGTTAGGAAAGGTAAAATCAGCATACGCTTAGTTTTCGTTTATTTGATCTTTAATTTGTAATTATTCTAAAAATAAAAATCTTTTAAAATTTATTATTTCTTTTCATTTCTGAAAAGAAAGATGGTAATAGACGTCATATACTATTGGAAGGATTCATTTTATTTTCTCTGTTCACATGACATGAATATGAACATTTCATACTACTCATGTTTCTTCATACTGAAGCATTAATTTTCTTCTCTTCTTTTCCAACGCAAGTGGATTTCACTTGTGCGCAATTGTGGGCCCTGTAATTTCCGCACAATTCCTCACAATTCTGCGCAATACAAGAATAGTTGCGCACAATTCCGCACAACGGAATTCTGATTGAAAACCCTCATTGTTACAATTATTTGAATGTGGCATTTAACGAAAACTACCCTTCACTATGAAAGAGATAGAGACTATAGAGAGTATAAAACAAAAAATCATCGTTTTCCGCTTTTCTAAATTTGCTTGACTGTGGTAGGCATTAATTTTAAGATTTGCGGGAGGAGTTTTATGGCATGTATCACTTCTATTTATAGATGATCGAAAAAATAGATATATTCTTTAAAAATTAGTTTCTAATAAATTTTTCCCATTTGTTTTCCCTAATATCATAGACTTGTTGGGAAATTAGTACAAATTTGCCGGCTTCCGGGGAAAAATGTATGGAGAAATCTGAATGAAAAATGTATGGAGAAATCTGAACGAAAAATGTATGGAGAAATCTGAATGAAAAATGTATGGAGAAATCTGAATGAAAAATGTATACATTCACGAAACCTCTCATTGCACTCAATTAGGAGGTTTTCTAAAAATGTGCCTAGTTTTTGCACCATTTTCTTAGCATTTTTGACAACAAAGTTTTATACATTATATTGTTCCTCGCTGCACTGAAAAATTATCAAAGAATTTTTTTTGGGCACTCATTACCCCATAAAGGTGAACTTACAGTTGTTTTGTTCGTGCACAGATGGCAATAGGGTTGCGAAATAAGACTGAACGTGAATTATTTCAAAAAAAAACTATTTTGAATTGTTTCAGTCAACTTTATTGCTTTGTTATGAAAGAGAAGTTCCTGATTTCCTGGATCCTGTTTATCGATAATGGATTCCAGGTTGATAGTAAACCAAATATACCAAATATATAAACATCACTGATATTTAATCCTAGCCCCTTACATTTTCTTCTCAACCCGTTCTTTCTTGGGTACAGTAGAGAAAAATTAAAAACCGGCTTTTCAAAATTAAAGAGTCTCCGTTTCTGTATATAATCTTAAATGGCGCGCAAAATTTTTAATTTATCGGCTTCATATACGCGACGCGGATTGGTTGAATTTTATTCACTTTTCAGGATACAAGTACAAGATTAGGTTAGTCTCGATATTAAGAAAACGAGAGGATCAAGCATTAATCTTGATGTCCACCATGCTAAAGTTTCAGCTCTGGTAAAGAAAAAAAAGAAAGAAAAAACTTAAAATAAAAAAAGAAAACCTTTAAATAAATAAGAAACCTTAAAACAAATTTTAAAAAACTGAAATCAAATAAGAAAACCCTTAAAATAATAAATTTGAACTAAGTAAAAAACTTTGACATAATAAGGAAACCTTGAAATAAATAAAAAAACCTTGAAGAAATTTGTAAGAAAACATTCTTGAAATTAAAAAAAAGACTGTAAATAAATAGGTAAACCATCAAATTACAAAAAAACGTAAAATAAATAAGAAAACCTTAAGCCTTAATGTAAAACCCTTTAAATAAATAAAAACAACTTTAGAATAAATAAAATAGTAAATTACCTCCATTGACATATTGTTTGACACATCCTCTGTTGTTAATGAGATCATTGCATTCTTGTACAGGATCCTGGATACCTAGCAGACTAACCTAGATAGATAGATAGATAGATAGATAGATAGATAGATAGATAGATAGATAGATAGATAGATAGATAGATAGAGATAGATAGATAGATGGGTGGATAGATAGATAGACAGATAGACAGGTAGACAGATAGACATATAGACAGATAGACATATAGACAGATTGACAGATTGACAGATAGAACAGGATAGAACAGGAAAGTACAGAATAGAACAGGATAGACAGATAGAACAGGATAGAACAGGAAAGTACAGAATAGAACAGGATAGTACATAAAAGTACAGAGTCGAATAGGATAAAACCGGATAGAAAAGGATAGTTAAAAGGAAAGTACATAATAGCACAGGAAGTACATAAAGGAACAGGATAAAACAGGATAGAACAGGAAAGCACAGAACAAAAAGGATAAAACAGGATATAATAGGATAGAACAGGATAGAGCAGGGTAGTACAGGATAGAACAGAATATAGGAAAACTGCAGAATATTAAAGATTAAACAAATTGTTTTTATTTCTGAAATTATGAACGGAATAAATCATGTTTTATTTCATTGATAAATATGGCTTCTTCTTCAATTATAAATGTTCTCTACTAAAGCTGAAACTGGTTTCTTTATAGATTTGTTTTATGAACAGGGTTGCCCAGAATGAATGAGAATTATCTTTGAAAATGGATTTTTTCTATCAAAATTTTTTATAAAAGTGACTTACGAATTTCTGCTACAAAAATATTTTCGGAATTAATTATACATTTCAGACTAGAAAATACAATATCTTTCAGATTTTTTATTAGATAAAGGTTTATATTATTATTATTGATTAGGGTATCGTTGTGAATCGTGTTGACATGAATATGAACA